AAATTTTCTCATATAAATAAAAGTAAGTGATTGAGACAGTGATAAAATCATGTATGACCAAAGAGTTCCTTTAAAGTATGCTCTTTTATTCATACTATGTGTCATTTACATCATCTGACACCACCTTTATGATTACTTTCCAATATTAAAAGTTCTTTAACCTTTATGGATATAATAGTTAGTTGGTTTTATATGTATCTTGTTAATCTTATTTTTAAAATATTGATTCTCAGTTTAGTTTTCGATTGTTTTAAACTCTTCGTGCCTCCTATACGTGAACTTTATAAACTTTAAGTATTGATTTTTAAATCTTTCCTATCATATTTATTATTGCTAATTATTGCTGACTATTCAGAACTCTTTATACATATACAGAACTCTATTCGTTTATACTCTCTTTCCTTAGGGTTGTACTGTAAGCTAAATTAAAGTTAATAAATAGTAAAAAGAAATTAGGAATTGAAATCTTCTACATGGACCATCATAAGTGTCTATAGAGCATATTATATTTAGTGAAATAAATAAAACATAGAATGATTTCACACATGTGTATTTTATAAACAAAGAAAAGTGATGAGTGAGCTAAATAAATGAAGAACATACTTTATTTTAGTAAAGCAAAATATTATTATTAAAAGACATTTAGTTATGTGAGGAGAGTGTGTCACACATTCAAGAAAGAACATCGCTTCCCTAGAGTGGAAAAAGCAGAGTAGAGTAAGAGAAAAATTCTTGGCAAGAGAAAAAAAAAATGAGATAATCTTGGGAAAAAGTCTAAATAAAATAAATACAAACTTTTAAACTATAAAACAAATTTAGCGAATACATAAAGAGAAGAGAGAATGAAGGTGGAAAATGAGTAAAATATATCATTTTTTGTAAAAGACAGAATTACATATTTTTATGACTGAACTTGATACAATATATATGTAAAAATATATCAGATGTTCATTTATAGTGATGCAAAGCTTAAACTTAGGTAAAGTTACAATGTGGTTATAATCAAACCTGGGTCAGCCACACCGGCCGCATACAAGGCAAACGCCCTACCGCCGTGCTATCACTCCAGCCAACAACTTAGCAACAAAAAAAAGAAATATAGAAAATATTCTCAGTTCTTCCATTTTAAAAATAATAATTTTTGAATGATTTACGGATGTGCGTCAGTTGATTCTAGCTGGAAACAAATGGTTGAACACGAGGATCACGATCACGACCATCCTGTTGTTCGTCGATTGCCTCGAGCAGGCCCAGTAACGTCTCCTTCGTCCTAACCCTGAGATTTTTTTACAAAGTGCCATATTAAAGCTCTTCCAGGGTTAGCAGAATGAGACTCATCATTGTTACTGGTATTTGGCATATTGGGTACACCACGGGGAGTTTTCCAGACTCTGCCGTGTGGGCAGATTACATTCGGTAGCCTGCCATTTTGGCCAAAGTAAGAATGAGATAATAGGATGTCGCACAGCCCGAATGCAGCTGCGCACTTCCAGGAGCTGGGTTTATAGTCTCTGGGTCTTGGCCGTTGATGGGATTACATGGCGCCTGGGAGTCAGTTGGTGGGTGTGACCCCTACCTACTGGAATTTGGAGGATCTGGGTGGAGGATGCTCAGCCCCGATCCGAGCAGGCTTGGAGATCTCAGCCCCGGGACCCGCATGCCTTTGTTCCTCTGCCGGTACCTTCATGCGTGTGGAGAGTGGTCTCAGCATGGTGAGCTGGTTCTGGAGGTCTTCGGCTGCCAGAGCCCTGGTCAGGGCGGGGAGGGAAACTCAGCCCGCTCCCCTCCAAGGGGCCCAGGCGAGGACAGCCAGGTGCAGGGGCAGGAGACTCTGCACTGTTCTCTTCCTGGAGCTGGGTTTTATAGTCTCTGAATCTTGGCCGTTGATGGTTGAACTGTTATTCCTAAATATAAAAGTAGTTAATTTATCATATTTTGACAAATTTTTTTCTCCCAATTTTTGGTTCTTAATCATATATTGGGCTGGAGCGATAGCACAGCGGGTAGGGCGTTCGCCTTACAAGCGGCCAACATGGCCGACCCGAGTTCGATTCCTCTGCCCCTCTCGGAGAGCCCGGCAAGCTACCGAGAGTATTCGATATGCCAGACACAGTAACAACAAAGTCTCCAGTGGAGACGTTACTGGGCCCGCTCGAGCAAATCGACGATCAACGGGAGGGCCTTTACCTTTTAATCATATATTAACTTTAACAAATTAGTGATCTGTATGTAAATTTCTCTGATTGTATGTATGTGTATGTGTGTATGTGTTTGTCTGTGTATGTGATTATTGTAAAAGACAGAATTATATATTTTTATGCGTGAACTTGATACAATATATATGTAAAAATATATCAGATGTTCTTTTATAGTGATGCAAACCTTAAACTTAGGTAAAGTTACAATGTGGTGATAATTTAGCAGCTGTAGCACTGTAGCACTGTCCTCCAGTATAGTTTTCATTATTTAACTCCTAATTATGATTATATTTAATAAGTCTAAAGTTCCGTTCATCTTCAGTCAAGAGAATGTGATGCGCTAAGGCCCTTTAGTTCTGAGGGCCACTAAGAACAACTCAGTGATGCTCTGAGAGGCCACCAGAATTCAGAGGTGCCCAGTAGTGATATGTAATTACAGGGAGCTGACAAAGCATCTGCACTGACCCTGTGCTCTACTCATTTATTCTCTTAATAATCATTGTTTTCAGTTTTTGAAAGTAATATTTCTTGACTGTATCATATATTTCAGGATCCGCCTACTTTTATTCAGTCATATTGTAACTTAATTTCTATAACTAGAAAACATAGTACTGGAAGGTACTATAGCAGGTAAGGGGTTTGCCTTGCATGAAACTGACCCTGATTTGATGGTGTTGCTGTGTATGGTCTCCTAAGTATCACCAGGAGTGATCCCTGAACACAGAGCTATGAGTAGACTCTGAGCACAGCCAGATGTGACCAAAACCACCCCCAAATAAGTAAAGTGATAAAATAAGTATGTTTCTATCACTGATCAAATGTCATTGTTTGTTGAGTTTTTATACTCGCATATCTAAAGACTCAAAATAACAATTCAGCCAGACAGCTTAAGTGGTCATTATTGGGGGTTAGAAATTATTTACATGAATTTCTACAGAAATTATTTATATGAATTGTAGCAGGAAACTACAACATCAGTGTTTCATATAAAAATATATACGTGTATATATACATATATGTACATACATATGGATCTGAATGGTGAGGCTATGAATAAATAATTAATGTAGGTGAATATTCTCTTTTAATTATAATCTCTGTGCTGAAAGCACACATTAATACCTCTGTTCTGAACTTCTCTTCTAAAGTCCAGATTTCTACAATCAATTGCCTAATATTTCTCCCCACTCAGATACCAAGCTTAAGAATATAGAAAATTGAAGTGACCTTGACCCTGCTCCTCTAGAAATCTGCTCTTTTATTTCAACTGCTTAAGCCAAAAATTCTGACATCATTGTGACCACATTTGTTCGCCAACATTCAATCCACTCTGATCTAATAATAATTCAGAACTTAACTCCTCTTTTACTTCACTGCACACTCTGACCAAAGTCATTGTGCCCTTCCTCTAACTGAAATAGCTTCCTCATCGATGACGTTGGTGCATTTTCATCATTGTGATCACTTCAGTCATCATCACTTCTGCCAACTTGCCTCATCACTGTATTTCATCCCAAAGCCAAAGCAGTCTTGTGAAAATGCCAGTTGGGTCAGACTGCTTCTTTGCCCAAAATCTTGCTGTGACTTTTTAGTTCATTTAAAGTAGAGGCCAAGAAATGTACAAGGGCCTGAAAGGCCAAAAAAAAAATCATTTTTTTCTGGGTTGTCTCTAGATTTATCTCTTTCTATCTCTTACTGTCCTCCTGCTGCCCCTGTTCCTGAAATTTTAAGAATCCTCCGTGATAGGGCCTCAGAGATTCCTAGCAATGGTACTCTCTCCATGTTCAACCACATTTCAGGATGAGTTTGTTCTCTCAACTCCTTTAGGACTTCACTCAAATTTCTTTCCTTTGAGACCATTTTGGCCACCTCAAACAAAGTGGGTGATCACCCTTGTTTTCTGGTCACTCCTTTATTTTATTTCTGTATAACCAATCATCTATATCTAATGAGACATTTTATTTTATTTATGTGTACCTTTTTTTGTGTTCTGCTGGTAGGTAAACTCAGCAAGGACAGACAATCTCGCATTGTCAAACAATACAGTTATATATAAAAACAACTTTAACTATTGATTGAAATGATGGAGAATTATTTAATGTGTGAGAATTTCTTGTCAGTCTTCAACAATGCTCAATACTAAGAAAACAGCGTAAATGTAAATAGGGTGTTTGTAGAGTAGAGTATTGTGTAGTCAAATAATTCTGAAAACAGAAACCTATATCCTATAATAAGTAAAAAAAATTATAAAATAATTCATATAAGATCATCTATAACTGAAAAGTTTCAGATTGGATGTAAATGCACTAAAATATTTACCAAAATTGATTTTGTCATATAAATGAATATTACTTTTAATCATTAAATGTATTTTTTTCGTTTTCAGTTTAAACAATTATCATAAGAGGGTGGGGAGATAGTATAGTGGGTATGGATATTTCCATGCACAAAGCCAACCTGACATACCATATGGTCCCAGTGTATCTCCAGGTGTGAATCATGAGTGTAGATCCAGGACTCAGTCCTGAGCAATGTTGGTGTGTCCCGTGTAAATGGAAAAGAAATGTATGCAACATCATGTACACCCCAAAAATTCTGGATCTACTCTTATTTGTTTATTTAATAACTATTGTCTAGGGACACTTGGCAGAACTACTGGAGCCAGATGGTACCAGGAATGAACCATCTTTTTACTAATAATGATTCAGACAAACAAAAAAGAACAATGATATTGGCTTGGCCTTTGTTTATTGAAGAGTACCTATTCCCTCCTACAATTATTGTGCCTCTTCTGTGTACCAGGTACTGTGGGGAAGAAAAAGATGAAAAAGACCCTCTCCTGCTTTCAGAGTCAAAGGTAAGAGTGCGAGGATCCAGCCTATCAACTGTGAGGGGTTGTGAAACAGGCATGATGCAGAAAAAATAAGTGTTAGGAAAAAGATTGTGATTCCATTCATAGAAAGATGGGAATCTTTGAGCGTAAGATCACACTCATTCTTTTCTTTTCAGTAAAGGAATGATCTAGAAAAGCAATTAAACACATTATGTCACAGCATGTTTATATTTCATACTCAATAATCACACTAAAGAACCTTGAAATTACAAATAAATTTGTGTTGGTTTGTAGATGTAATGTGTTTACAGAAAATGTGCTTCTATGTCTGAAACTATATTGGTATGCATCAACCACACAAAGCCAACTATCTACTACAAAGAAAGCACTGTGCTTTGTTACAGGGATACAGCACTGGGCAACATATACTTTGTTTAAGAAGAAAACACAACTGATATGTAAATGGATAGGTATTTTTAGTGAATGAGTCTAGGGAAGCTATCAATAAATGTTGGTATTTGAATTTAGAAATCAATTGCTTTTTTGGAACTGGGAATTTCCTAAAATAAGGTAAAAGAAATGGTGATGGGGGATTTCTCCAGACTTTCTGGAAGAAAACTTTTGTAGATGCATTGCTTAGAGGGAGACAGAGACAGAGGGAAACATATTGAGAGAGAGATAGAGTAGGGAGAAAGTGAGAGGGAGCAAAAAGAAGAAGAAGAGACAAAGATAGGAGAGAGAGCATGTTTCTGGATGAACAGTACACATAGAAATGAAGTGGCTTCGCTGTGATTAAAACCAATAATACTATAGACTTCAAAGGATAGAGGATATTTAGGAAGGCTTTTGTTTACCCTTGATGATAAATATTTGGTGGACAATGATATTAAAACATTAACTGATTGATGAATTTTATGCAAAATAATAATTTGATAGCACAGTGGGAAGGGTGTTTCCGTTGCATGCTGCCAACCCCGGTTCTATTCCTCCATCCCTCTTGGAGAGCCTGGCACGCTACCGAGAGTATCCCGCTCTCACGGCAGAGCCTGGCAAGCTCCCTGTGCCATATTCAATATGTCAAACACCGTAACAAGTCTCACAATGGAGATGTTACTGGTGCCCACTCAAGCAAATTGATGAACAACAGGAGGACAGTGCTCCAGTACTTATATAATTGAAATCCAAAAATTTATTATTTTGAGGGGCTGGAATGATAGCACAGCAGGTAGGGCATTTGCCTTGCACGCGGTCAACCCGGGTTCGATTCCCAGCATCCCATATGGTCCCTTGAGCACCGCCAGGAGTAATTCCTGAGTGCAGAACCAGGAGTAACCCCTGAGCATCACCGGGTGTGACACCCCCCCCAAAAAAAGCAAAAAAAATTATTATTTTGATATTACATGAATGTGGCAGTTCTCTCTTATTTTCTTTCTATAAGCAGAATGGCTTTTACTAATTGTGGATGTAATTAGCATATATAATCATATATAGCACAGCGGGTAGGGCGTTCGCCTTACAAGCGGCCAACATGGCCGACCCGAGTTCGATTCCTCCGCCCCTCTTGAAGAGCCCGGCAAGCTACCGAGAGTATTCGATATGCCAGACACAGTAACAACAAAGTCTCCAATGGAGACGTTACTGGGCCCGCTCGAGCAAATCGACGATCAACGGGAGGGCCTTTACCTTTACTTTACCTTTCCATTTAGGAATATATATATATACATATATATATGCGCAGAATATCTAATCTGAAATAGGTACACAGTTCATGTTAGGGCTTTTGTTGTTGTTTGTTTTTTTACAATCTACCTACAATGAAGCAAAATATATAGGAAAAAATCCTATTTTCTTATATAGTTTATTATATAAAAAGTTTATTTGCTTCTACTAATTTAGAAATATTTATAAATTCATTAATATGATTTTATTACATATATTACATTTTAACTCAATGTCTTTATAAACTTTACAATAAAATCAGCCTAGTAACTTGTTTGAAAAACATTACAGGTTTGGAAAGCATTTTGGCATTAGGAAAGGATTTGTATTGCATATAACCAGTACAATGCATTCTAAACAAGACATTTATATTTTGAATTAATCAGACACTTAGAAAAACATAGTGATTTATTCAACCTGATGCTTCAAATTATCTCATTCCATAGTCTTTGAAATCAATCTGTCAAATAATCATCAAGAGTAATTAGTTTATGCTAAACTCCCCATATGAAATTTAAGGATGACAAAACAAATTGTTGGCTCCATTACAATTCAATTTGCTATTACTTGATTGCTAGACTAAATATATTGTAAGGATATAATTTTTCCATCACCATACTTCTGCCATATGGATTTTCAAGTACTTTTCCTCCAAATATGAAAGAAAAGCTCTTTGACTATTGTCAAAGTCTATGAGGCTAAGGTAGAAATGAAAAGAGAGAGAAAAAAAAAACTACTACTGAAGGAAACAGAAACCAAAACCCAGTGCCAGCAATGATAACTATGAGGAATATATCTGAATTTCAGCCCATACTTTGATAAGCATACTTTGAAATAAATAGAAAAAGAGCAAGATATAAAAGAGCATAATACTATTTTAACACAGTTTGGCACCAGTGGGAATACTGTGATATGCTGCCCAAATGTCTCCTTAAAGAATGACTCATTACACTAACTTCTGGGAATGTCAGAAGTATTCTAACTGTTTCTTTCTTTTTATTTTTTTTTCCTTAAGCAATTGCCTTAGTCTGAGACCTTGTTTACACAAGATCTCACATCCAGTGACACATTACTACTTAGCTGAAGAGGACTGGCCACTTGCCCAAGGCAGGGCAACTCTGTGGACCATTAGTAAACCTTGAGAATCAATGATATGGGCCCATTTTACTGCATGATTTCTTCTGTTAACACTGCTTTCTTCCACTTCCTTCCAATAGAGATTCCCTAATAAGCAACTCATCCATGAAATTTTATCTTCAAATCTATTTACTGGAGTAATCAAGCAGTACAGGTATATAGAGGAATGAGAGAATGAAATCTAGAATAGGGAAAAAAGGAAATGAAACCTCTATTTAAAAGTACTATAAATAAAAGTAGCTATGGCACTAAATAATAATAGCGGTTAATCGATTTAAAAATCTCATGTGTTTGGGGAGCTGAAAAAGTAATATGGGGTTAAGGAGGTTGCCTTGTCTGCACCAACACTAGTTCAAATCCCAGCACCACCTAAGGTCTCCTGAGTACCTTACAGGAGTGATTAATCCTTAGCACGGAGCTTGAGTACTGCTATGTATACCTGAAACTGCCCAAAGTAATGAATAAATCAAAGCTACTAAAAGAAATAAAAACAGAACTTAGAGCTCAATGTGCTGCTGTGTATGCTTTGCATTCAGCAAGCCTGGCTCAATTCTATCACCCCATCACTGCTGGAAGTCACACTGGAGTAGCCCCCAAGCATTGCAGTGTGTATCCCCCCAAAGAAAAAGAAAATCATTTATGCATATTGAGAAAATTATGTTTTATTTTAATTTCCTATGTATCAGTAAATTGAAGTTACGAAATTTTGCAAATTAGAAATAATTAGGAAAGGACTTAAAAGTTTCAATGACCTGCCAAGATCATAAAAGTTGTAATTAATAGAAAAATTCTGACTTCATTTTTTATCTTCTTTCCTAAACTATAAATGAAATATTCTTTTATTGGTAAGTAGAGCAGATATACCACATAAGTACAAGGTACTATATAAATCCAATTCAGTTTAAATCATCACACTATAAGCTTAATTAAAAATATAACTTGTGCGGCTGGAGCAATAGCATAGAGGGTAGGGCATTTGCTTGCATGTGGCCAACCTGGGTTAGATTCCCAGCATCCCATATGGTCCCCTGAGCACTGCCAGAGGTAATTCCCAAGTGCAGTGAATAGGCAAAAAAAAAAAAAAAAGGACAACCTGTTAATTATCTAACTAGGAGCTGCCCAAGTGTACTGAGTTCTTTGAGAGGAGCAAAGAAAGTTTATATATATATATATATATATATATATATATATATATATATATAGCACAATGTATCACTATCCTCCCATTGTTCATCGATTTGCATGAGCGGGCACCAGTAATGTCTCCAGTGTGAGACTTTTTGTTACTGTTTTTGGCATATGAATATGCCACAGGGAGCTTGTCAGGCTCTGCCATGCAGGCGGGACACTCTCGGTAGCTTGCCGGGCTCTTCAAGAAGGACAGAGGAATCGAACGGAGTCAGCTGCATGCAAGGAATACACCCTATACGTTTTGCTATCACTCCAGCCCATATATATATATATATATGTATGTATATGTATACTTATATATGTATATATATAGAGAGAGATAATTTATTAGGATACAGTAACTTACTATTTAAGAAGCTCTATGGCAGAGTAATGGATTATAATAACAAAAAGCACTCAAAGCTTACTCTGTGTAATATGAATGGAGCTTAGCTAGTTATGAATATTTTGGCAGTGATCTACAATATTTGTTCTTTTGTAATTCTATGAATAATTTTAAAATAATAAGCCTTTAGTTTTTGGAAGGATTTAACTTCATAATATAGGTATGAGTAATTAAAAAAAGCCTGTTGCCTTTATGGAAACATAAAACTGTAAACATTCTGTCCACTGTGCACAATACTGCTTTTACTAATGCATTCGTATTACTATCCAACTGTTTCTCGAAACTATTTTCCTTTGCACTGATGTAAAATCACACTCCTTTTGTCATTACTGCTGCTTTCTCCTTAAGCTGGGGCAATTTTTGTTTCATTGCCTTTGCTATTCTTTATTTAGTGCTTGCCTTTTAGACACTAGGGGAATCATTGTCATTATAGACTTCGTTCGCTCTGTTCCTCTTATAGATCTTGACATAAGATGCTCTGAAAGTCATTTCCTATGCATACTTTTCTTAAGTCAACTTTTCTTAATGTTGCTGCATCATTTCAAAAGATATTAACATTCAACTTCAATACTTTATATAGGCCGCTTCATCT